ATAATGGTGAGTGTCACATCGTTTTTGTATTCAAAATGGCCTCTATTCATGATATACAAGGAGGCTTTTGTTGCTTTGTCGTAAATACTTTGTCAAAAGACTAATAATCTACAAACAAAGCATAATTCTGCTTCTGATGACGTTTATTGGAAGACTTTCCATCTGATTATTGTAATTCCATTTCGAAATCAGTGTAAGAATAAACGATTGTATTGAACTCCGGTTTTCGAGTGTTCTACACATTTTTAGTGACTACCATTCAAACTATTATGCACAGCGACAGGTGCGGGATCTTCGCGATCTGGATAGTCGACGACGATTGTTAAAATAATTTAATACAATTTAGAACTTTCTCGCCTTATAACATGGACTTTTGTCATGAAAACATGTTTCCAGAAACCATTCGGACGTGTAGGACTAAGATCAAATTTCACATTCACATATTTTTTCTAGTTGGCGCGAATGATGCTTTGGGACGCTTATCATTCAGAAAACAGGTCACGAATAAGTAAAAATAAGAAATATTGGGAAGTTTGTGTACAATACTAAGACTACTAAAATATAAACAAGACGGTTCGGCATTTCTTACTGGTATTTTCCATAACCAGACAGATAGAGTGGTTGGATTTGGACTAAGAGAATTTTTCGCTTCATTCTCTCCCGTTTCTTAATCAGCAGCGTTACTTGGTGTAAAAGTAATAGGCCCAAAAATGTCTATGTCTAATCCACCTATTTCGTCGACAATACTAGACTTTGAACTGTTTCCATTAGCTATGGAACAAGTATTCACTCAGTTTGTGAGTGAGACGAAATCACCTTCAAAACAATCACTATGCTGTGCAATAGTGTAGATTGTAGTTAAAGCATGTTTATGTTCAGTGTACATTTATTGTTGCCGTAGACTTGCAAATTGTGAGAAAATCTTCCACTGAGTGGTTTTAAGTCTGGTCAACTAAATTAAAAATGCATTCATTGGAAAGCTGAGTTTTGGCATCCTGTAAGAGTAACATTCTTTATGCATGAGACCTAAGATACTTCGAAGTTTAGCAAAAACTGCAATGTTGTTGTTCAAGTTGTCAGTATATCCCAATAATGAGATAAGAATAGTGTTTGAAAGTGTCCGAACATCTTGTAGTATATTGATTTACTGCGTCTGAGCATTTAATCTTCGAAATAGCATGTAAATGACAAGTGTTACACTTAAATTGTATGCAGTGAGTCTTGAATAAGCATTGAATAAGCACCTACTTTTGTTTCCCAAGCAGAAAAAAGAATGAATTGCCAGTCAGTTATATATCAAGGAATCTTTGTGAAAAGTGTCAAGTTGGTTAAATTATAGTCGTTGTTCTATCTAAAGAAATTTACCCGTAGCCGTTAACACAATGGATGATTTATAACACATTTCAGTCTATTCTGCCTCTTTTCACAGTGAATATATAAAAAAGATGCCAAACACACTGATTTTGATAAAAACAACTACGTCATCATTTTCTTGCTGAATTCTGCCTAATAGTGTCAGTCTAGTGGTTTTCATGGTTGGTAAATGCTCCATTCATTACTCTCTTTGTAATAATAATAATAAGACATAAGCAAGATAATTAGCAAATAATTGAATTTCATCTACCTTCTTAAAAGTGATTTCTCCCTATCTAGCTTTGTTGATCGTTTTCTTTCAGAGCCCAATTTTCTACTGCTTGTTAGTTTTATGTAGTGTAATATTAGAAAGTGCCATGATACTGCCATTCTTTTAACAAATCCAGTGCCTTCGATTAAGGTAATATTGTAAGCAACTCACATTTTCATTATTAACTTAGTATCACCATCTTCTTTCATGCGAGAAAAATAGTTGAAACACTAATTGAGCTATTATGTCAAAATGCTCAGAATGGTGTTAAGGGCACAGAAATCTGAGGCTGCTGAATACAAACTGTCTGCTGAAACAACTGTTTAAACGGAATATGCATGAATGACCAATAAATTTTATTATATATTAACTGTTTGGCAGTATGGTCTTCACTGTCGATGTTTTAAATTTATTGTAAATTACTCTAGTTTCATAGTATATATTATAGATCGCGGGTGGCATTTTGGAAAATACCTGTGAGAGCATCGAAGAGAAAAGAACATGCAGTTCAGTTAAGATATCTATACTGCGTTTCAGCTGTCGAAAGCTGTAAATTCGCATTCAGATACTAAGTCTGAATATATACAATTGTTACTTAATTCCAAGTGATAGCGAAAAAGATTAACGGTGAAAATTATTTCGAATTTCGCATCAAAGTTTGTAGGTATAATTGTAGAAAACAATGAATAAGGAACAAAATTAATCTGGATTAAAAAAGTGTTGAGTGAAATATATAAAAAGGGTTTTCAATGAACACAGTTAAGAACCGGATGAGCATAGAAACAAACTGAGTTACTAGTTTACAAAACTGAAATGACAAATTTTTCACTTGATATAAAATTTCTAAGGTGTAAATATGCATAACCTAAGGCTTAGTCGCATAATAACACAGGATCAGTAAGTAGGTTTTTAGACTAATAACGGTGTGAATGAGATTAGCATAGAAAAAATTGGAATAATAGTTTTCATAGCAAAAAATTAGAGGAAAAAGCATTAAAGGGAATCAAAAGCCAACACTCAAAGGGTAAAACCGAATTATATCCGTGTTTTAAAAGCATAGGGTGGTCTAGTTTCTTTTGAACACACTGCTCTGGCTTTTTGATGAAAATAGTGAGGTCTTCTGCAGTACAAAGAAGTCGAACACAAAATGCATTCGGAATATTTTCGTCTACCATGTATATGACTGTGTATGGTAAGTCAGCCAGATTGCTGGAACAAGTGTTAAGCAGGTGTTCAGTTATGGCACATTTGATTTATTTCGTGTCACCATTCTGCAGCCTTGTCAGGGTTTTTTTATTCCTTCACATTCCCAGTGGCTTCAAGCTAAGGGCTTGGAATTTCTGTAGCAGCATTTATTGTTACGGGATGGGGTTAGGGTTAGGGTTAGGGTTATAACATGGACTTTTGTCATGAAAACATGTTTCCAGAAACCATTCGGACGTGTAGGACTAAGATCAAATTTCACATTCACATATTTTTTCTAGTTGGCGCGAATGATGCTTTGGGACGCTTATCATTCAGAAAACAGGTCACGAATGAGTAAAAATAAGAAATATTGGGAAGTTTGTGTACAATACTAAGACTACTAAAATATAAACAGGACGGTTCGGCATTTCTTACTGGTTGCAGTCAGCAACGTATGCTTCAAATTTCTTAATACTAACATTGACTGTAAAATTGTTTAATGTCAATCTGAACACTCGTGTTAGGGCAACTCCATTTCTATCAAGAACATTCGTGCCCCACCTCGATGTAGTCCCACAGAACAATCTCTCTTTGTCAATGAATTATGTAACTCACTGTCCGAAGTGATAGGTGATTTGCAGTCTTGTGACAGCAGTTATCTCAAAATTTTATGTCATGGAAATGTGGTCACCTATCCCACCTGACTAGATACTTCACTTGGTCTTGTACTCACGAATGACTTTGGAATATGCAAAGGCTTTCACCTTAAGATCTTAAAATAATAGTGCAAAAAACAGAAATGTTCTTTCAGGTCATTAGAGGTGGGTGGCAACTTAGTAAATTTATATGTATTATTACCTACAATATTAAAACGATTAAGAAAAAAAACTGCAACACGAAGCATCGATAATGACATCTAAAATATACATGATTCTCCGAATGTGGACATAAGGCATGATTCTATGAGTTAGTAGAAACACATATGAGTGTGTAATCTGAGGGGTATTTATGGGAGTGACTGAGTGAAATTGTGATACATCTATATGATCGCTTGAGAAACGTTTTACGTTCATTCGGTTAATGTTGAATCAGTTCTTGTGTTAGCTGTTTCCATAACAATAATTCAGCGACGAGTACATAACAATTTGGCGACGGGGAAAACTAGTACATAACACGTTAACAAACGGAATTCCAGGAATTATTTTCCATGTATTCATTATGTTTCACTGAATTGATTAATATTGAGCGAACGTATAATAAAAAGCATCTGAGTAAATAAGCGTATACTTGGTTACTGGCGAATGCTCTATTCAGTGATCTTTTATATCACTTTCCGTCTGCCGAATAAAAGAGAGCATTGTCTCGTTCACTGACTTTATTCAGTCCAACCGACAAGTTAGTGAGAAAAGCCTATGATCGTTTGCGTTTCATCCTTTTAGTTCATATAACCTTCCTTTGAGAGGTACCTACTTGTGATGACAATGGTTGTCCAGTAGAATTGATCCAAGAAGAAACAACATGTTCTGCATTTTTCGTTTTTTAGCTACAGATGTATTAGCTTGCTTTCGCGTGTGCTGCTAAGCATCATTTCGACCACGTGTTTCATTTTCTATTTCTGCATCGCTGTTCGCAGTGTATACGTTGAATGTTGAAAGTTGACCTGTCGCTTATTCAGACAGTCATATTTTAGGTCAGTCACTCGTGTAAGCAGCATGTACTGAATCGAAGTTTTTAATACGCATCTCAATAAATCACGAAACATTTCCATAAATAGCATCCTCATCAGACCTGATGTTATTATTCGTTATTTTTCTAAATTGCATTCAATTATATCGCTTCGTAGAAACCGATGTGAAACGATAGAGTTAAGACACACATTTTAAGAAAAAAAATACACCATACATATTATATATATATATATATATACATATTAGAGTTAAGCCTGATGAGATATAACGGAAATTATTATTCTTCGCTTAAATGTGTTGTTCTGAATTTTACTATGGGAATATTTAATATATTGAAATTAAGAAATGTTCGAGTCAACATACCATTCAATCGCTTAGTGTCTGTTCACAATTCTTGAACCTGTATGTCAACAACTATATGAGCGTTCTGTCCCAGGCAAGTTTAGACTTACTGAATGCATAAATGATAGTAATAGTAAAATTAAACTATCACGTAGAGAGAAGGAAAAACTGTATAAGATGAACGATAAAAGTGTTGTAAAAAGATTTAACTTCTTAATTAAGTCTGAAATGCAGAGGTTGAATGTAATATATAACCAGAAATTCATATCCTGCAAAAACCCTTCTAATATATGGAAACTATTCAAGGAAATCACTGGTGGTAAGCAGATAAACAATATTCCATATTCTTTTGTTGTATGTACTCTTAACAAATCTTTTATTTACTCTCCCTCAAATGCCATGCTTCCCAGCATCTGTTGTGTTAATAATAGCCATTTTTCAGGTTTTAACACAAATGATGTTCAAAAGTGCCTCAAGTCTCTAAACACTTCCCAGAACTTAGGTTCAGATTATGTACCTAGTATTATCTTTAAAAAATGTTCTCATATTCTGTGTCACCCTCTCACTGATCTATTTAACAAATCTTTTTCCGATAATATTGTGCCTGCCGTTTGGAAGGACATTAAAGTTGTACCCATACCTAAATCATCCACTAAAGCATGTGTCAAATTTAGACTCATTGCTATTACCTCTCCTTTTTTGAAAACTATGGAGAAATTACTTTTACTTAGTCTTGTACCTTCGCTTAAATCCTTTAATGACCCTAAACAATTCGCCTATAAGCACAGTAGAAGCACTTTAGATGCAGTCGCCGTTTTATATCATAACATTGCTTCCAGTCTACACAAGGGGGCTAAATTTGTTCGTTTGGCCTTCCTAGACTACAAATCTGCTATCGACTCGGTCCCAAGGGACATCTTATTAAATAAACTTGCAGCTAGTCAAACAGAATGTTGGGCTGTTAACTGATTACATTCCTATTTCTCAGAAAAAAAGCAGTACACCGTATATAAAGGAAGTAATCCACTTAATTGCCTACTGAAGCTGTTATCCCTCAAGGCGCTGTCCTTTCTCCTTTTCTTTTTTCTTTCTTCTTGCACGACTTGCCTCACTCTGATGAAATAAACTTTGTGAAGTACGCTGATTATTTAACAGTTTCAATGGCTGTTAACTCTCAGCTAGATTGTACTAAAATAAATAGCTTTCTATCGGGAGTCAGCAAATGGTCTGAGTCTAACGGTCTTAAACTGAATCCTTCTAAATGTCAAACTCTAAATTCCAGGTTAAAATGTAAAAGACAGTTAAAAGAAGTCGTTGATTCTCATGACAGTTGTAAGATTGACGACAATGATATAGGAATCAAATCACAAATTAATTATCTTGGACTTATTCTCTCTTCTGATCTCTCCTGGACTTTCCATATCTTAGCGATCTCCAGTAAAATATTCCGCCTGACATTTTACATTAGGAAGTTAAGGCACTCGGGTATAATTCAAATCACCCTCTTACAGTTTATTAACTCTTGCATCCTACCTATTCTTCTTTATTGCTCACCCTTATTCTTTCCTGGTTTGCTTAAAAAGGACTATGTCACAATTCGTAGAATGCTGAAGACGGTCAGTAGGGTGAGTGGTGTCCCAGTGGACCACATAGTTAACGTCGTTGTCGATAGGCACTTGACTTCGTGCAATAAATTTGCTAGAGGGATTTTGTCTGACTTGGAGCATCCGCTTTACCCTCAGCTTTCACCTTGCATCTCCACAGATAGAACAAGGAGTAACTTCAGAAAACTGTATGCTCGCACGTCTAAGTATAAAACTTCTATGATACCATACTTGGCGGCACGTATTTTATGTGATGAAAATAGTGTCAGGCAATAATTAACTAACCTTTTTTCATCTAGTAAATAAACAATTTCCTCCATCCATCCCTATACACATTCAAGTTCTACTTTTATTATTTCTATTATATTTATGGTCCTTTTACTTCTCTCTTTTACTCTCATAATTGCAAACACCAACTTATCATCATGGCGGCTGTAATCTTTAATTTTCTCTTCATCATATCATGTGAAGAGAACATTATACTCAATATTTTTAAACATGTCAGGATTTCTACACCACATTGTCAATACTGTGTGACACAAGCCAACGGCAATTTTCACTTGTATTCTTAGTATTATTACCCTAGCTGTTACCATTATTATTGTTATTTCCATTTTATATGCTGCATGTTTTTGACACTACCTCTATTGTAAATGTGGAAGATTTTCTGTGTGATTAATTTCTATTTATAATTTGAGGAAATGAGATGCAATATTGTGATTAATGCTGAAAATTCCACTCTGTATCACAAGTACTGTTTTTGGAATAAAGTAAATCATTATTATTGTTACTTATTGTCTTTATTCATCAGTATGCCATTTACAGAAACCATTTGTTACCTGTGCAAATATATGGAAATCAGGAATCTGATCAGTGGAATGCCACATATTTCAAAGAACTGTTACTGAGATGCACATCCGATGTACATTTTACTTTGAAAGACGATGTCTGCTGATAGATAGATGAAATTTTTGTGGGCTTTCCTCATGACTCACTTTTGACAGAGAGCTTATGGCCAGTTTGGGCTTAAAATCACCAACGGATAAGTGTTTGCTGTACAAAAGGCATTTTGATCACATTCTATAGGCTGCCAAAAAGATTCTGATTTAAATTATTTCCCCCATGGGTTTAACAATAGTCATCCTTGAATTAGATTGACACTGAAAGTAAAATTCAATCAAAGAACTCATTATTGGTAGTTAAACTGACAAGAAGAGATGATGAGACTCTGAAAACATCTTTCTGTTCGTCAGATGTTTGTATTCTGAAAAGTAATATGAACAAGTGGAGAGAGATACTTATAACAGAATCTGTAAACGTTAAGGTCACACTGGATATATGTAACAAGGGTGACTCAGTACAACTGTCAACAACCTGGAGTATAATTCTGAATACACAAAATGAATGAACGAAAAATGAATTATATATATATATATATATATGAGTACAAACCATAAATGTGTGGATTGAAAAACAAAACAATTCCAACAGTAATTTTCCTCGAAACATTATCATAGTGTTTAAACCATTGAGATATAATTATACTTTATTTGAATTTGAGGTAGTGACTGTTCAAAGGAGAAGCATTTCTTTCTCAAAAATATCTCGATTTCAAATGGATGCTTGACACGTTTTTTGGAGAACATGTATCTAAAGCCTAGAAGAGGCAAATGTACCTCAGAACCGGCCTGTTTGACATCTGGGCTACCTTTTTCCTGCATCTACATATTGCATCTAATAAGTCATGTTTTCATTCCTAATTTTAATAAAATATGATCACAAATCGCATAAAATACAGTAATTCATTCATTAAACGTTTTAAACCATATGACTTTCATGCATCTAATAAATCTAAGAGAAAACATCACGCTGGCTGGCAGCGTGCACTTAAACAGACACCTTTATATCGTACAACCATTCCTGTTATTGTCACTTCAAACTGCCGTTCACTTCCCAACAAAATTATGCATCTCCAGTCTCTCTTATCATCTGATACTTATCACAATACGGCGATTGTTGCATTACAAGAAACATGGCTCCATGAACTCTATGATGACAATCTGGTTTCCCTAAATGGTTTTACATTGTTTAGACAAGATCGACTATGCTCCAGAAAGAAAAGAGGTGGAGGTGTTGCAACTTTCATTCATTCTCAATGGTCAACTTCAAATAACGTATGTTTTTCTTACTCTAATGACTTTATTGATTGTATAACGGTCAAATGCCGCCCGAAACACTTATCCAAGTTTAAATACGTCTTCATCTCTAACATTTATGTTACTCCTGGCTGTTCTGCATCTGATCTATCTGATTTTGCTGATGAATTCACTGAATTCGCCGTTACACATCTTGAAAACTCTTTATCAGTTGTCACAGGAGATTTTAACTGCTGTGATTGTTCTTTCCTCGTATCATTAGGTCATGCCAATATTGTTAAATTCCCTACTCGACTTGATAAAACCCTTGACCTAGTGTTCATTAATGATGAGGAAATATATGAAGTACGCCGACGTGCTCCTATCATGAACTCAGATCATTGTATTATTCGGATATTACCTAAGATATACAGCAGATCTCACTTTAATATCTTCTCAAATCTGTCCAAGAAAACACAGCAAAGGTGTTACTCACAAGAAAATATGCTCAAACTAAGATGTATGCTAAATGACACTAACTGGGAACTTTTCAACGAACACAAACTGGATGATACTATTTCCAATTTGACTGACTATCTTAAATTCTGTCTTGATATATGCTGTCCAAAACAGATAATTTTCAAAAGAATGGATCGTTTTTCTTCCCCTCATCTCAAAAAACTTCGTAGAGAAAAAGAGAAGCTGTACAAGACAAAGAATAAATCTGGTCTTAAGAAGATAAACACCCAAATTAAATCTGAAATCAAGAGACTAAACAACATTTATAATCAAACAATACTATCTTGTAAAACCTCAGAAAACATATGGAAGCTTTTTAGAGAAATTACTGGTTGTGGTAAGCATAATAATTTTGCCTCTTCTATTGATGTAAATACTCTCAATAGATCTTTCATCCGCCCTCCAAATGTCCTTTCTGCCTTCAATTTAACTAATAACACGACCAGTGACTTTCATCGTTTCAATACTTCTGATGTTCTTAAATGTTTGAAATCTCTTAAACCTTCCCAGAGTCTAGGCCCTGATGGTATACCTGCCATTGTTTTAAAGAAATGTGCTGATATTTTAAGTAACCCACTTACAAGCATTTTCAATACTTCTTTTTCTAATAATGTTGTACCTTCTCTGTGGAAAGATATTAAAATCATCCCTGTACCCAAGTCTGGTTCTGGAGATAGTGTTAAGTTTAGACCAATTGCCATTACCTCTCCTTTTTGAAACTGATGGAGAAATTACTGTTACAAAAACTCATTCCCTCCCTAAGCTTCTCAAACGATCCAAAGCAGTTTGCTTACAAACAGGGTAGAAGTACTTTGGATGCTGCTGCTGTGTTTCATCACAACATTGTATCCTCCTTAGACAAAGGGGCCAAGTATGTCCGTTGTACTTTCCTTGATTACACATCTGCTTTTGACTCTGTACCTAGAGGCCTTTTGTTAAACAAGCTTAGCCTTACACAAACTGAGTCCTGGGCTATCAACTGGCTGCACTCTTACTTCTCCAATAGGATGCAGTACACGGTATATAATGGTGTAGCTTCCTCTCCTTTGCTTACTGAAGCTGGTGTTCCTCAGGGTGCTGTTCTCTCGCCGTTTCTCTTTTCCTTCTTCTTACATGACTTACCTCTCTCAGACGAAATCAACTTCGTCAAATATGCAGATGACCTGACTGTTTCGCTTCCCGTTAAGTCTCAGTCAGACTGCTTCAAATTAAATAGCTTCCTGTCGGACATCAGTCAGTGGTCTAAATAAATGGCCTAACGCTGAATCCCTCAAAATGCCAGACTGTCGACTTCTCCTTTAGGCATAAACGAGATCTACAAACACTAGTAAGCACTCATGATGTCTGTAGAATTGAGGGGACTATAATTGAAACAAAGTCTAATGCAAAATACCTCGGATTAGTTATATCTTCCGACCTTACCTGGTCATCTCATATCCAAATGATTTCCAAGAAAGTGTTTCGTCTAACCTACTACATTAAGAAACTCAGACTAACTGGAGTCCCTCAACCTCTGCTTTCACAATTTGTCAACTCTCGTATCCTACCTATTCTACTTTACTGTTCCCCGTTAGTCTTTCCTGGGTTACTGAAAAAGGATTATACCATCCTGAGAAGGATGTTGAAGGTAGTTAGTAGGACTAGCGGTGTAAAACTCAGTCAGCTCGTCACAACATTAGTGGATAAGCATCTGAATACATGTGAGAAATGGTCTAAAACCATACTCTCTGACCCCCAACACCCCCTCTATTCCCAACTCTCTCCCTGCATCTCATCAGGTAGAACCAGAAATCAGTAAAAATAATATATGCTCGTACAACCAAGTATAGGAACTCAACGATACCATATTTGGCCCGTGTTCTAAGTGACAGAGACAATGTTAAGCGTGAAACCTATGACTTGCTTTGTTGTTAATAACATAATTTTGGCCCTTGTTATTTCCCCCTTATACTCTCTTATTTGTACTCTATAGTGAACAACCTTCTTAAACATACTTAGCTGCTTAAAATTATTATCATTGGCTTACTTTTTTTCACTTTTATTCTATTCCTTCTTTTGTATATCTACTGGGTCCGACTATATTATCACTATGATTATTAAAAATTGTCCCGTCATTAACCATCATGTAACATTAGTTTTGTGGTTGTTCTTTGTTCGGCACTATTTAACTGACAATCTTGTTTGTTATTGCCACTATCACCATCTTAAAAAATTTTGTATTATGCATGATTCCTCACACTACCACTACAAACACCGCATTAGTGCTGACAATAAAAAAACACAACCTGAAATGTTTATCTTATGATTGTTTAGTGTTGTTCAATCAAATTAACTGATCATCTTGGCTATAAACATTTTTAAGAACATCTCATAATTTCTTGTATGATTATAGCTGTTACTGTTCACCACGCATACACATATCGTAGCTTCCACTAACCAATACTGAAATATTTTTTTCATTATTTGTGTTTATCTTCCTTTTTACTTGGTATTTTTATTTGCATTTTTTTCTATGT